TCTCATCTCTCTCTCTCTCTCTCTCTCTCTCTCTCTCTCTCTCTCTCTCTCGCTCGGCTAAGGGGCTTTGAACTTTTTTCCAATAAAACTGAGGCTTCAGCGCTCCCAAAATAGCTCAGGAGAGCAGAACAATATCTCTCTCCATTCTTTCTCAGTCTGTCTGTGTCTGCACATCTGTCCTCCTCTCTCTCTCTCTCTCTCTCTCTCATTTAGAAATCAGACACACCCCGGTACAGGTGAACTGTGGACTAAGTGGCCAAATCAAAGACGCACCTGTGAAGCGTCCACAGTGACAGTGAATAACATCACCACCACACCCAGCTACACACACACGCACGCACACACACACACACACACACGCACGCACACACACACACACACGCACGCACACACACACACACACGCACGCACACGCACACACACACACACACACACGCACACACACACACACACACACACGCACGCACACACACACACTGAGCTCAGCACACTTAACCCTCAGAGATCTCGTTCATCACAGTGAAGATAAAAGCAGGTTGTACAACCCCATTTTCAAAAGGTTGCTGTGCAGAATGTAAATAAAAATAGGATACAATGATCTGCAAATCATATTTTTAAAGGAAAATACTACAAAGACAACATATCAAATGTTGAAGCTGAGAATTTTTTTATTTTTTTTTATTTGTGCCCATTTTAAATTCGATGCCAACGACACGTTCCAATAAAGTTGGGACGGGGGCCTGTTTACCACTGTGTTACATCACCTCTTCCTTAACAACAGTGTTTGGGAACTGAGGAGACACTGCTGTAGTTTAGAAAGTGAAACGTTTTCTGCTCTTGTTTGATACAGGATTTCAGCTGCTCAACAGTTCAGAGTCTCCTTTGTCATATTTTTCATTTTATACTGTGCCAAATGTTTTCAGTGGTGACAGGTCTGGACTGCAGGCAGGTCAGTTTAGCACCCGGACTCTTTTAATACGGAGCAGTGCTGCTGTAATACATGCAGAATGTGGTTTTACATCGTCTTACTGAAATAATCAAGGCCTTCCCTGAAAAAGACGTCGTCTGGATGGCAGCATATGTTGCCAAAACATGCATATATATTGTTCAGCATTAATGGTGCCTTCACAGATGAGCACATCACCCATGCCATGTGCACTAATGCCCCCCTATACCATCATGAATACTGGCTTTTGAACTGTGCACTGATAACAACCTGAGTGGTCTTTAGCCCGGAGGACACAGTGTCCATGATTTACAAAAAGAATTTCATATGTTGATTCGTCAGACCACAGGACACTTTTCCACTTCCTCTCAGTCCATTTTAAATGAGCTCAGGCCCAGAGAAGGTGGCAGCATTTCTGGATCCTGTTTATATTTGGTTTCTTCTTTGCGTTTTAGAGTTTTAACTTTCATTTGTGGATGCAGTGATGAACTGTTTTCACAGACAGTGGTTTTCAGAAGTGTTTCTGAGCCCATGCAGTGATTTCCACTACAGAATCATGTCTGTTTTTAATGCAGTGCTGCCTGAGGGCCCAAAGATCACAGCCAGTAAATACTAGTTTTTGGCCTTGTCCCTTACATACAGAGATTTCTCCAGATTCTCTGAGTCTTTTAATGTTATTATGTACCGTAGATGATGAAAAGCTAAAGGTCTTTGTTGCTGTTTTATGTTGAGAAACGTTCTTCTTGAACTGTTGCACTATTTGAGAGTGGTGAATCCCTCCTCATCTTCACTTCTCAGAGACTCAGCCTCTCTGAGTCAATCATGTTCATCGAATCATGTTACTGACCTGTTGTCCATCAACTACCAGGTGTTTTTTTAGCTTTAAACAACTGTACCAGTCTTTTGTTCCCCCATCCCAACTTTTTGAAATGTGTTGTTGGCATCAAATTCAAAATGGGCAAATATTTTTCAAAAAACAATAAAATTTCTCAGTTGATATGTTGCCTTTGTTCTACTTTCAATGAAATAAAGAGGTTTAAATGATTTGCACATCATTACATTTTGTTTTTATTTACATTTTGCATAGTGTCCGAACTTTTTTGGAAATGGGGTTGTATTGATTATTGGAAAAGCAGATTAAACTTTCACTCTGTACCAGATTTGTGCTCATAAGTAGAAACGATAGAGATATTTTATTAATATTTGAATTTGAAAAACATTATTTAGAACAGGACTCCGGGGGCTTTAGGACAGGACTCCGCTGGGTTTAGGACAGGACTCCGCTGGGTTTAGGACAGGACTCCGCTGGGTTTAGGACAGGACTCCGGGGGGTTTAGGACAGGACTCCGCTGGGTTTAGGACAGGACTCCGGGGGGTTTAGGACAGGACTCCGGGGGGTTTAGGACAGGACTCCGGGGGGTTTAGGACAGGATTGTTTAGTAAGAACAGTATTAGACTCAGTACTGACCCTGTTAAAGCGCTTGGCCTGGAAAAGATGTCCGTTTACTCTGTACAGCTTCCTCCATCTCCGAGCGCCACGCCGATAGATGGACTCTAGGAGAGAGAGGAGAGAGAAGAGAGGAGTGAGTGAGAGAACCTCAGAGAACGAGATGGACAGAGTGACCTGAGGACAATGTGGCTGGCAGACACTGGAGCAAAACATCTAGCAAAAAAACACAAAAATTAACACCCCCCCTCACACACACACACACACACACACACACACACACACACACTCACACACACACACACAGTAACTCACTCAGTCACACCCTCATTCACTGAGTCCTTCATCCTGTCACTCAGTCGTTCCATCACTCATTAAACACATTCAGAATCTCTCTTAACAAGCCAGAACAAGAACGCTGGTTCACAATTAAATGCAGTCACACTTGAACGCTGCTGTTATTATTATTATTATTATTATTATTATTGTTATTATTATTTATAATCAGTATAGCTCTTCTATAAAAAATATTAACTGACTAATTAACTAATAAATAACATATCATCCATTTAATACACACTTTCATCTGAGAGTCACGAGGACAGACACAGCGCTCTGGGCCATGTTCACACCCACGGTAACTACAGGAACCGTGAAAGAACCATGAAGAACCTGCCAAGTTCACAGTGGCGTCTGGCAGTAGGACAAACACAAAGTCAGTCTCTGCTTCCCAAAAATCAGATTACAGAACTGCAGGATAGAAACAGGAACACTGTCACTGAACTGCGCTCCACCTTAAGTTCAGCATCAAGCAGCTACGTCTCTATTCTAGAACGTGTTCTCATACAGACAGACGCAGTTAACTGTCTGGATGCCTTTTCTAACGTGCAGAATTATGAATGATAATCTAATCCCAGCTTTCTCCTGTTTAGATTCCTGTTTCAGGAGTAAATGAACTCTGATTGATCAGAGCGTCTGATTCTGCTGTTTAATCTGATTTTTCACAGTGAGGCTTTTCAGCTCTGCAGCTTCACGCAGATACGAGTAAACGTCAGTCTTTTAACGGTTCTTCTGAAGAAACAGATCAATAATAATCGTTTCCATGGTGATGTGGATTGTGTTGAGTGTTTGCTCAGAAACTGCATCGACAGTAAAGGCAGCAGCTTCTTTCACTCAGTGACAGGAAACACAGCCGAACACAGAAGCTCCAGTTCCACACACTGATCCGCTTTATTGACCAACACAGACATGAACACTCGCCAGCGACTCTGGGGGCGGAGCTTAAACCGTTAAAGGACACAAACACAAATACCACAAACGAATCACCCTTCACATGGTCAGTTCATGGGTGGGGGGGTGGGGGGGCTTATGCTATGGGCACACCCACACTCAGATGACCGTGGGAAACACTGCGCTAACCCACAGTGTAAATAAGAACATCCATCACTGGCCGTCCAGTGAGTTTCTGTCCAAAGCTGCTCACAGTGTCAGTAACTCTGGGGTCAGTGCAGCTCCAAACTCTCCCAGTCAGTCAGGAATCACTTCCACACGGAACAAAAGCTAATCCCTCTGGATGGAACTCTTCTCAGACTGGTTTGGGTGGTGAGTGCTCCAGAACTGCTAAAGTAGACTCACTTCCTCCTAAAAGCCCCCCTGGCAGCCCACCCACAGCGTTTGACTGACAGAAGGCCTCAGTGACGCCGCAAATGCAAAAGCAATCAGGGTTAAATACATGCTAACTCTGGCAGAGCTACAGCGCCACCATGAGGAAACACGATCGCAAACCAGCGACTGTTACTCTGAGTTTAACGTCAGAACATTAAGATACTGACTGTTTCCGGCAGAGCGTCGGCAGAGCGTCGGCAGAGCGCCGGTGCTGTCTCAGTCAGAGCCTTTACGTAAAGTGATAAATACTGAAACAGAGGAAACTCTCCTGCGTCGCTCGCTAACGAGCACCGCAGGAACTTCTCCAAGCAGACTCCAAGACTCCAAGCAGAGAGCGCTGAGGAGTGATCCACCCACATTACATCATCACCAATAACATCAATCACAGCATAAACACCAAACTCAACAGATCAGACATAAACCAACATAACATCCAATATTACATCTGCTATAACATGTTTACAGTGTGATCATGTCAGTGAACAGTAGCAGAGCTGTAGTGTGTAGCTGTTATTATTTATATTCCACTGCAGTATAAACACTTCCTGCAGCCATTTTTATGCAGTGTTTATCAGTGTTTACTAGTGTTTATCAGAGTGTTTATTAGTGTTTATCAGTGCTGAGAGTGTTTATTGGTGTTTATCAGAGTGTTTATCAGTGTTTATCAGTGCTAAGAGTGTTTATTGGTGTTTATCAGAGTGTTTATCAGTGTTTATCAGTGCTAAGAGTGTTTATTGGTGTTTATCAGTGTTTATTAGTGTTCATCAGTGTTTATCAGTGCTGAGTGTTTATTAGTGTTTATCAGAGTGTTTATTGGTGTTTATCAGAGTGTTTATTAGTGTTTATCAGTGCTGAGAGTGTTTATTAGTGTTTATCAGTGCTGAGAGTGTTTATTGGTGTTTATCAGTGTTTATTAGTGTTTATCAGTGTTTATCAGTGCTAAGAGTGTTTATTGGTGTTTATCAGAATGTTTATTAGTGTTTATCAGTTATTTCTGTAAAGCTCTGTTGTACAGAGGTGCTTTATAAATGAATTCTGGCTGTTCTCTGGATTAGCTCTGAAGATGCACATCTGTGGTTAGTGTTAGCATGAGTTAGCAATGTAGCTAAAGACAAGAGTAAAGCTGCTCTTCTCTGCTCTGATAACAGCCCCCACCACCCAACCCCCACCCCCCCAACTCCCACCAATCCCACAATCCTCTCCGGCTGATCCTGTGGAGGGCACACGGGGTGAGGCATTGATTCAATTCCCCGCTGTTGCCATGGCAACACCGGCTCTCCCTCACTCGTTAGCCAGAATCACCAGATGCCAGCTGATCTCTCTCTCTCTCTCTCTCTCTCTCTCTCTCTCTCTCTCTCTCTCTCTCTCTCTCACACACACACACACACACACACACACACACTACATCTGCATATAATTATAAATAATAGAAAACACAAACACGAAACACACTAAAGAGAATAAAGCCCAAAAAAAGACCAGCCGGACAGCCGGACAGCCGGACTCTCCTCATATAAACGGCTCTTATTCTTCATCCAACAGTAGGAGCTCAGATCAGCGCCGGGCTCTGATTTTGAGTTATATAATCTGAACTGATACAGAAGCTCTACTCTGATGATACTTTAACATTATTGCTGTTGTTTTTCTGTGACTTTAATCCCACACAAACCACCATGTCAGCACAAATAATCCCAGGTTATATTAGTCTTGTGCTACAAAACACAGAAATAATCCCAGTTTATATTAATCCTGTGTTACAAAACACAGAAATAATCCCAGGTTTAATTAATCTTGTGCTATAAAACACAGAACCAACACCAGATTATATTAATCACGTGCTATAAAATACAGAAATAATCTGTATTTCTGTATAAATAAATACAGATATAACTCTTGCTATAAAATACAGAAATAATCCCAGGTTATATTAATCCTGTGTTATAAAATAGAAATAATCCCAGATTATATTTTACAAACTGAGAAAAAGTTTTTTTCCCCCAAATGGTTGAAATGTTACAGTTAATTTTCTTAGTTATCTTCGCTCAAAGTTAACTGTGATTATTCTGTAATCTAGTTCAGTTATATTTTACTTGTGTTTATTAACTGTGACTGTGTTTTGAGCTCAGAGCTCTAATCTTCCAGATGTGTCTCTCTCTCTTTCTCTCTCTCTAATCCTGTTAACTTCCTCCAGCAGGGTGAGAGAGAGGAATCACACCACTGTTTCCATAGATACTGTTTTAATTCTATTAGAGAGAGACAGAGAGAGAGAGAGAGAGAGAGAGAGAGAGGGGGGGGTGACTTTTAGATATTAATATTAATACACATTTTGAATTATATTTGATTAAAGTTCACAGAAGTTCTCGTCTTTGGCATTTCGTCTCACAAACTTCCTCCTGGTTCCGCATGAAACTCTGCAGTGTTAACGTTCCGACTCGTCGGTTCTGATGTGGTTCTGCACTGAATCCTGTGAAGTTCTCTTCATTCTGCCAGCACAAACGCTAAATGCTAACAGGTATCCTGAGCTGAAAGTTTGACACACATGGCAACAGTAACTAAGGACGCTGTGACACCTGCCTGGTGTCATCAAACCTCTTTAGGTCGGTCAGGTGTGGACATTCCACTGTTCTCAGATCAGCACGACACACATAACTGGAGGGTCAAAGAAATCACGGGGCTGAGTTTGAACCCCTCCCAGTACAACCGAAACCCCTCCCAGTACAACTGAAAACCCTCCCAGTACAACCTTAAGCCCCTCCCAGTACAACTGAAACCCCTCCCAGTACAAACAAAACCCGTCCCCATGCAGTGCGTCACTGGGCGTGTGATCTGTGTCTGTGAGGATGATAATCCGGCTCACACGGTTGAGGACGACTCACAGGAACCGAGCAACACTCGATTAACTATTAAACGGCTTCCAAAGAACACTGCATAACGAGCTGATCTGCATATTCCGTCCCACTGTAACCGGATTTCAGTCCGACTAACCAGAGACGCATTTGACCACCGAGTGTAAATGTATGAGGCTAAAATCTCATCAGGATACAATCCAGACACTGGACACAGGAAGTGACCAAGAGTAAACGGGGTCTCTGATGTAGATGAAGATGATGTGGATGTACTAACAGCCTGAGGGAGGAACTTTGCAAGTCAACGGCACCACAAACAGGAAATATGTAATAGTATAGAACCCCATCAGCACAGTAACGTACAGGACGCGTATGAACTGCCCCAGTTTACTGATCAAAGCTCTGCAGCTCCTCACTGAGCGGCTCGGACTCTAATCTTAGCTCCTCACTCCAGGGACAGAGAGCGGCCTGTTTCAGGTGGAGGTGTCCACAGCAGCTGAAGGTCCAAGCTCCGTAAGCAGGTCAGTGAGGAACAGAACGAGATCGTGGAGCTTCAGGGTGGAGGACGGAGATGTTTCTCCATATGTGAAGGAAAC